CACTAGCTATTTTATATATATTAAAAAATGCTGATCGTATTGTAGGTTTAGGAGGTAAGAAAAAGAGCTGATTTTTCGTATATACAACATTTTTTATAAGGATGTAAATTGAAAAATGAAAATTGCATTATTTAAAGAACAACTTCATCACAATCAAACTCTAGTGATAGATTTATCAATAAAAGAAATTCAACATTCTCAAAAATATCTGTTTTATGTGGTATGTAAAGGTCATTCTAAGTACCAATATTAATCAACTTATGTTGCTTCAAACTCAGACACTAAAGACAACTCAAGCACATTATTAATATTATTATTACGTGTAGTTCTGTAGTTAACTTCAAAGTCAAAAACATAACTCGTATATATGAAAGACAATTTGATTTTATAATAGTTATATTGATTGATTAAGTTACTTTGCAATAATAAACCTTTAATCTTCCATTTTTATCTTTATCCTTCCTTATTGCAGTGATTATTTCAAAATAAAAAAAATAAAAAAATAGATAAATATAGACAAATAATTATAACAAATAATTTAGGAGATTAAATTAGTCATTCATTGATTCTTTCTTTTAATTGTTAGAATTAAAAAATGTTGTTAGTAATAATTAATGGATAGTAAGTTCCGATTAATCAATTAATAATGAATTTTTGTTCACCTTCAACATTTAAGAGAAAAGAGCTAAAATCAAGACTATTTAATGAACTATCATTACTTGTATAAATTTTCAAGCTTTTTGATTTAACAATCTCTTCATCTAATATCCTACTTTTATGATATGCATCTGGGTGTGATTTGTGTACTTGTTGCGAATCACTACCGTCACCACTACTGTTGCTACCATCATTATTAAAATCATGTTTTTTGATTTTAGAAAATTTGAATAATCTTTTTATTAAACTATTGTTACTATTATTATTTTTCAAGCTTTTATTTTCATAAATTTCATTACGTTTATCTCTAGCAAATCGGAGAAGCTCTTCACTAGTTGGTCTTTTTGATGGATCCACATCCCAACACTTCTGCATCATTTGTGCATAATCTTCAGGCATTCTAGGTAATATTGGTGGTCGTAAACCTTCTGCACATATATCAAAAATCAAACGATGA